TCCATTTATATGGGTACATTATTTACTTCGTCAACATACTGTTTCTTTGAACAATTAATAAAAGTTGAAAACAATATATATTTAAATAAAAATGCGTTTAAACTAATTGGTGGTAAAAAGATTATTTTATACGTGTCTTAGAACCAATGTTTGAAATTAAAAATGTTAAATAGTTTATATTTCAATATGAATACAAAGACTATTATAATTGAAGTTCAGGGATCTAATTTACGACAAAAAAACCTAATATTTACTTCTATTGATTTCTACTTTGAATTTTTTGCTGTCCTCTTCAGCGGCAAGTGGGTGAAGAAATAGGTGCCGTTCAGCATTTCACAAGCTATAGGTTTTTCTTTGCTTGTTTTAAATTAATGTGTAGTGCAGAGTAGCTGCTACGATTCAGTCACCATGACATGCTCGTTGATCCGACGCTAAAAAAATGAGATTATCCACCTCAGTTTGACTCTCTTAGATTACGAGGCGTGGAAGATAAAGATAGAAGCGAAAGGAGAAACGATGACATCATTCGAAATTGTCCTAGAGCCGTGGACATGGTCCCCATCATGCGCAAACGCTGGCGCGGTGCCTGTCTGTTTGGACGTCGGCTGCTCAGGTTCTTCACCAGCTTCCAAGTAGAATTGCGTGGTAACTACTCAGTCGAACGCGTCCGGAACCTGACTACGTACCACCAAACTACTTCAACGTTATGGGCCCTGCTGGTCGCTGTGGTGTCCCCTTTTCCGTGCTTGGTCGTGGTCGCGCTGGTAGATTGTGTCCCTCTGGCTGCACCTAAAGAAGGATTAAGAGCGAATTACTTGTTCTGGTTCCGCGACTACGTATCGATCGCCCTCATGACGTGCGCGATCTTGGAGCAGTTCCGGATCAATGTCCCTGGTCTGAAGCTCAACTCCATGAAAACGATCTCAATGCCAATCATCTCTAGCGCCGGCGCGATTGCATTCATGATTGTCATGGCCAGCGTCATCGGGTTCCCGCTACCGTTTGCACTCGTGGTGGGGATTCCGGTGTGGTTCGCCGCTCTCATCATTTGCTTCGCGTGCTGCTTTGGTCGTGCTTTGAAGCAAGACACGCAGCTCGTCCGCGAGTTGGTCAACTACGTTGTCGTTTTGATCTGTCAAGTGCTGCTCACGTTCGTCTACCCAGCATATCTCTACGGGTTCATGCATGTCGGACCGTCGAGTCAAAAGCTCTACGTTATTCTCCTCCCCGTCATTAAAATCATCGCCAAAAACTGGATCTCCTACTTTCTCGACAGGAAATTCGATCTGATGCCGCAGAACATGATTTTCAACGTGGACGTCTTCAACGCGCTGTACGTCTCAAGCTCGGTTCAAAACTCCAGCTCTATCACCACAGTGCTCGAAATGATCGCACTAGACGCCTTCCTAGGGTGTACGTCGATTTGGGATATCAGCAACCTAATGCGAGACATCGTCGCTCTGCAGCATAAAATACCCCATGGCCACCCCCTTCGCTCCGCCAAGTTCATCGACGTAGCATTGCAAATTGTCCAAGAAGCTCCGCAGACAGCCGCTCTTCTACTTCAGCACAGATATACATTTCTCTTCATGGCATTCAAACCCAGACGCACTACTGATTCAATGCCGACGGATGCAACTACCAGACGAATATTCCCGGTGACGACAATGAACGACCCACTTCCAGTTGCCGCAGAAGCAGACGCTTTCACACCTTTGAACCAGGAAGAGTTTGCCACGCTCGAAAAAAAATTCTCGCTGAAGGAGCGTCGGAAATTCGTCCAACGGACGGCTCAAGTGTTGTTCGTCGCGGAGTTTGTCATCCTCGTGGAGTACACGGAAGTCATCGTCCCGTTCATCTTCTGTGCGTGCTTTTTGTTGTAGGGTTGATAGGTTTTGCATCTAATTCGAACTTGTGTATGTGTGTGCCTGCAGGTAAGTATACGACCTCCATGTATTATCTTCCGAATCGCGACTACTACGCCCAGATAAAAGCCCTTGATAGTGAAGGCCTTGACAGCATGCTCAGCAGTGTGGCAATGTTCGGTGCTGTAGAATTTCTATCACTTCTCATCATAGATTGTGGCGGAAGTTTGCCGAGCGGAATGCGTCCTCAACTCAAAGAATCGGGTCGTTGACGTCGGACAGAGTTGCAGCACTTGCAGATCGTGTTTAGTCGGAGGGGGCCCCGTGATTGACTAACCCAGCTGCCTTCCATACCATGACGGTGCCGACATCTGTCTACACCTGCCGACACGATCTATCATTGGTGATAATGATGAAATTCCATGATTAGTCTAAAAGGCTACATTGACACTTCTCCCATTTCAGTGCGGGCGGGCGGCGACCCTGCGGCGACCCTGAGTGCAGTACATGCGCCGTGACCTACGCTACGCCCCCCCCCCCTCCCCAGGCTACGCGTGCGTGGCGTGCGGGCATGCGCAGGCGTGATGGCTCGTCATCACCAGCAAACTGTCCCTCTCTCCTCGCCCAGTGTGAGGGCACGGCGGTGCGCCCCTCCAGCCAGACGAGAGAGAGGACGACCAGGAAACCCACGGCAGGAAGCGCGATGGACTGAAGGCACAGGGCGAGAACACTAATAGCGTGGAGGAAAGCGAGGGGGCGGGGACACGAAGGACGGCATGCTGACGAAGGCCACAGAGGGCGACAGAGGCCTCAAGAGCGCGAATGGGCGGCGAGAAGACCAAGAGCGCAAAAGGACGGCGGAGGGATCAAGTGCGCGCAGGACGGCGAGGGGACCAAGGGCTTTAAGTTCGCGGAGGACAGCAAGGAGACCAAGGCCACCAAGTGCGCGGAGGACTGCGGAGGCAACAAGTTCGCCGAGAGCAAGAGCTAGGAGGAGAAGATTGATGGAGGGCGCCTGGCGGCGGCGCAGACGATGTCTTACCACCCACGCTGGACATCACGCGGGACAAGAAGAACAAGAAGAAGGTGCCCAAGATGGAGAAGATGCGGAGGCTAGAGCAGCAGACAGCACGCGGCGTGGAGAGCCAAGGGATCCACCTCCTCCTGCAGCAGACGTAGCAGTAGCCGCCCGCCACCACGGCAGCCAACAACAGCAGCAGCAGCAGCGCAGCGGATGTGCGCGTTGCGCCGGCGGCTTCGAGTTGTCGATAGCTGGGTGTGACGAGAGGCACGCTCGCTGCTGGCGATCTTGGGGAGGAGTAGGACGTGGTTATACGGCTACTACTGGTGGTGCCTCCGCCGCTGCAGGGTGGGGAGACGCTTCTA